GTGACACTAACATAAACCAACAACATTTTCACATTCAATTTTAAAAAATAAAAAATCATTAAGCTTGCGAAACGTTACGTTACGTTTATGTACGTGTCACGTTACGTTACGTTTATATAGGTGTCACGTTACGTTACGTTTATGTTGGTGTCACGTTACGTTACGTTTATGTAAGTGTCATGTCACGTTACGTTTATGTAGGATCTTGTGGAATACATTCCTATCTAAATAGGTGTGGGGATATATTTTCTGAATACTAACACGTGGCCAAGGTGACGCCGACGTATCAGCCGAGGTGCCACGTGTCCTGGTCATGACGCTGAGATCATCTCGGCTAGGCTGAGATTATCAACGAATATACTGGAATCCGAGATAAGCGGATAAGGCACAAGAGTCCTAGAATGATGAGGGGACTCAACCTGGATAAAGATAAAACTCTTAGGGAGTTTATCTCTATCTATAGAAGAGTCCTGGATAAACACTGAGCTAAAGTCCATTACAGTTAGGCTTCTGTTGGGACAGTGATTGAGTTAATTATAAAAGAAAGGCACCCTCGCTGGGTCTAAGGTAAGCAATTTATACTCAAACAGTGAGTTTAACAATTGATTATCTTTGAGAGATATTATACTGACTTGATCGTTGGAGTGCCCCCGAGTGGACGAACCACCGCCAGAATCTTCTCTTTCTGTTGCAGGTCAGCCAGGTGTCATCTATTCTGTCAGTTCTCTTCAACTGAATACTAAGTTGGCAGTGTGGTCAGAAAATCACTCACACAATAGGACTTGAGATTCTATAAGAAATTACACAGAATTTAACCTACCATAAGTGACTGAAAAATGACTTATAAATAAGTCTCCTTAAAATAAAATATTATGAAAATTAAAATATTAAAGTTGCTTAATATATGTTATATTAAATTTGTTAGAATAGGTGGCCTTTTACGTTGGTTTTTTTCAATAGCTTTTATTTTATTTTATTTTATAGTAGTTTTGATTCCGGGTAATTGCTTACATGGTCATAAAGAAACGCTTACGTTTTACACCAAGGATTCTCTAGAATGTTTTTTTTTAAAAGTTTTCTAAAGTAGTGTATTGTGTGATTGAGATTTAATACTGAAAAATTGATGTGACTTGTTATTAAATCTCAACCACACAATGCACCACTCTAAAAAATTAAAAAAAAAAAAAACTTTAAAGGATCATTGCTCTACGTTTTAAGGTGTATGAAATTTTATATCCGACTATATATAGAAAGACAAAATATTATAATTTAATTACTAACATATTATCACTATGTTGTGGGAAAAAAAATTAGTTAATGCTTTAGAAAGTTGTTAAATTTTGTTTGTACGTGTGATGTTACATTTGACTTTTTCTTAGTTATTGATAATCAATTTAATCATATTTAAATTTTTATAGTAATTTTTAGTTTCTTTTGTCCTTTTGGTGATTCCCAAACAGATATTTTCCTTCCCAATAAAGTTTAATCTATTCTTAGAAAACTGTATATACAAATCTACGATGAATTTGAGGTTGGTTTTTTGATTTTTTAATTTTTTTGATTATTTTAGTTTAAGATTAAAAAGTTTAATTTGAGAAGGAATTTTGATTTTTTTTAATTTTTTTTGTGAGAAAAAGAATGTAATAAGTATAGATTAGATATGATAATTTATCTTACTGGATTAAAAAGCTTATGTTAGCCAAAAAAACTCACAAACTAACTTCCCAAACGGAGCTACAGTAATCCCACAATAACTGGCGCGTTGGCTATTCAGCACATGGGCGTACAGTAATAATATGTTTGTTTACACGGATTAAATAAAAGGATGGTAATATATTGCACTTTTAATTTTACAATATATAAATATCTTATATTTATTTAGTTATAAAATTAGATGTTGGGAGCATTTTTAAAATTATTTTTTATTTTTAAAAAAAAATTTAAAATTAATTTCTAAAATCTAATCCTAGCATGTCTCAAATATTTAGAGAAAATAATTTATCTTTTTATTAGCTAATGTAAAGGAGAACTTGTTTTGGGAGTGTATCCCACCCTCGTTATGACAAGGAGGGGAGGGGTGTTTGGTCTAGCATTTTGGACCAATTTATAACTTTTAGTTTTTTCGAAAAAATTGCTTCTGCTTCTAATAGTTTTTTGAGAAGAAATAAGTTGAGAATCGAAAGCTGCTCCAGGCAGCTTCCGTAATTGATACTATACAAAGGGGTGTGCAATTACTTAAATGGCCTTCACAATTTTCAGTTATTACAAATGTGCTATGTATATAAACCAAAAACACTCATTTTTTCTCTCTCGCACGAACGGAAGAAGCGATTTCCGGTGACCAGAGAGCTCTCTCTCTCTCTCTCTGTCTATATTCGGTGTTCTCCAATCGCTCATAGTGAGCAATCTAAACTAGAGCTTAAATCCTAACCATCGTGATTTCTCTTTTCGCGATCGCTCAAAGTGATGATCGCGATCTCTCTCTTCTGCGATCTCTCTCTTCTGCGATCTCTCTTCGCGATCGATTTGAAACCCTAGCGCCACTGATGACGATCTCAACCCATAGCCTAACAGTGACGATCGCGATATCTTCTCTCTCTCTCTCTCTTCTGCGATCTCACACTAATTGTGATTGCAGCTAGGGTTTGATGATCGATGACTGCCGGCAGTGAGATGAGGATAAAGAGAAAAAGGGGTTGTTGGCAGTGAGAGTAAGAGGAGGATAAAGAGAGAGCTGCTGGCAACTATTGGTGGTGGGATTAGGACTTGTAATTAAAAAATAATAATAAATTAAAAAAATGAATATAAGGGCAAACTTCCATTAATGAATATTAAGTGCATTATTAATTGGTATTTGTGTAATGACAAAAATTTATTAATGAATAATTGGTATTTGATATGAATAATTGGTATTTGATATGAATAATTGGTATTTAATGAATAGTTTTTATAATAAATTATTTAATTATTTAATTTTTATATAAGGGCAAACTTCCATTAACAATTTTTATATTATTAATTGGTATTGTGTAATCAAAAAAACAATTAATAAAAAAATACAATTTACTTCCACTAATGAAAAGAAATTAAACAAAATTAAAAAAGAAAGAAGAGAAGAAAAAAAAAGAAAGAAAATAAAATAAAATAAAATAAAATGAGGTAAAAGAAAAAAATGTATTATAAATGAAATTACAAATTTTACATCTTATAAGGGTAAAAAGGACATTACACAACAAAAAACTATTTTACAACTTATTTAACAAAATATTATTCTGCTGATTAAATCTATAATTTCATAGTCACACCAAATAGATTAACAATTTATATTTAAAATTATAACATATAATCTGTTAAGATATAATCTATAATCATTTTTCTCACGGGTAGGCCAAACGGAGCCAAAATAATCCCATATATAGACTAACAGTCCAGTTGCACTGTTAATTCAATGCATAATTTTTTAACCAAACGGTGACTGCTTTATAGGGTAGACATTCCTATTTTGGTATATAGATTAAAAGCCAATTTTTTTTATTATTTTAATTTTTTAAAATCACATATTTTATTATTTTTTTAACACATTTTAAAAAAAAGGATAAATTATAAATATACTTCTCAAATTTGCTTAAAATATGAATTACTCTATGTAATTTAAAAAATTACAAATATCTCTCTATCAGAATTTTTTATTTAACAGAATTAACTGAAAAAGTAAAATTTCTAATTGTTCACCTATATAATAATAAAATTATCTGAATTATTAATTGAAATAAAATTTTAACATTGTTAAAAACTATTAATTAACTTGATAATTTATTAATAAAATAATCTATTTGTTATGAAATTAGAAATCTTAGGGGTATAATGTAATTTATAGAACCACAGAGAGTAATTTATAATTTAAGTAAATCTCAAAGATGTATTTATAATTTATCCTAAAAAAAATTTGAAAAAATTAATTTTTAACCCACTTACCAAAATAATGGGGTGTTTGGTGTGGATTATAAGAGTGATTATAGTTTATTTTAATTTGAGAATCTGTATCGGACTGTTTGATGTAACTTTTGTTTATAGTTTTTTAAGCATAAATAGTTAAAATAAACTGAAAAAAAATTTGATTATTTCGAAGCTGAGGAAGTAATATTTTTAATTTTTATTTAATAATTATCAATTTTTAGCTTATAATAAACTGCACCAAATAGCATGTAAGTCATAAATTCCAATTTCTCCTTCAATAATGTCCCGTTTGGTAGAGCTGTGGGAAAGTGATTATAGCTTATACCTTAACAATTTATACCTTATAACTGTGAACATAAGCTGATTTTTTACTTATAAATTAAGTTTCTGCTCCCTCACTCAAAAAATAAGTTGATTTTTGACTTGCAAAAAGCTATAAGCTGTATTGTTAAGCTGAACCAAACACATCAAAATAGCTTAAATTGAGCTAAAAGCTGAAATAAGCTCTACCAAACAGGGCCTATAGCTTATAACTTAACAACTTATAGCTTATTACTGTGAACATAAGCTGATTTTTGACTTATAAATCAAGCTTTTCTTCCCCCACTCAAAAAATAAGTTGATTTTTGACTTACAAAAAGTTATAAGCTGTATTGTTAAGCTGAACTAAACACATCAAAATAACTTATATTAAGCTAAAAACTGAAATAAGTTAGAAATAAAGTCTACCAAACAGGGTTAATGCTTGGTAGCCTAAAACATCATAACTCAAATAGTTCAAATATGCCAAAACAACAATATTTTAAAAATAAAACAACACTATTTTAGGGTTAGTTTGGCATGAACTATATAATCTATCTTTTTATCTTTTTTTATCACATCACCTCACTACTTTTCTACACATCTTTTTATAAAAAGACAAAAAATATAATTTTTTTAAGACACCCCAAACCAATCCTTAATACATTTAAACTATTTAAATCATACAAATTCAGGTTAGCAAGTATTTCTTTTTCCCTTTCAATATCTCAAAACAAACGTCGTAGTAGTCATCTCATTCCTCTCTCTCTCTCTCTCTCTCTCTCTCTCTCCACTTTCTTCTCACTCTTCCTCTCTCTAATCAGAATCTTTTTTTCAATTTTAAAGCGCATATTTCTGTGGTGCTTCTTCAATCTTTGCCTGGCTGTGACATTCCCAACACATCCCCTCAAGATTCACTCTTTCTCTCGCTCTCCCTCTCTCTCTCACACACACACACACACACACACACACACACACACAGATCTTCTCCATTTAAACCCTTTCTTTCCTCCATGAACTAGCCTTTCCCTTCACAAATCTCTTCCTTTCCCACCCATTTTCCTTCAGAAAGGAAGAGAAAGAATCAGAGAGCAATACCCACTTGTCAGATCCCTCTTTTTTCCCCATCCATGGCTGAACCCACCAAGCGATTCATCACATTTGAATCCCTCAAAGCACACAACAAACCAGGCGATCTATGGATTTCTATTCAAGGCATGGTCTACGATGTCTCTGATTGGGCTAAAGAACACCCTGGTGGCTATCTTCCCTTGTTGAGCCTCGCAGGCCAAGACGTGACCGATGCTTTTGTCGCGTACCATCCAAACACTGCTTGGCAATATCTTGACAAGTTCTTCAATGGCTATTTCATAGAAGACTACTCTGTCTCTGAGGTTTCCAAAGATTACAGAATGCTTGTTTCTGAATTTTCCCAAATGGGTTTGTTTGAAAAAAAAGGCCATCTTGCTTTAATTTCGTTTTGTTTCATGGCATTGTTGTTTTCTGTGAGTGTTTGGGGTGTTTTGTGTTGTTCTAGCATTTGGGTTCATCTTGTTTGTGGTGGATTGATGGGGGGTTTGTGGATTCAGAGTGGTTGGGCAGGGCATGATTCAGGGCATTATCAGATTATGCCTAGCAAAAAATTGAATCGATTTGTTCAGATCTTAACTGGGAATTGCCTTGCTGGGATCAGCATTGCTTGGTGGAAATGGAATCACAATGCTCATCACATTTCTTGTAACAGTCTGGATTTCGATCCGGATCTCCAACACATGCCTTTCTTTGTGGTATCTTCGAAACTATTCAATTCCCTCACTTCTTGCTTTTATGAAAGAAAGATGCCTTTTGATTCAGTTACTAGATTGTTTGTGAGTTACCAACATTGGACTTTCTATCCTGTTATGTGCTTTGCTAGACTCAATCTCTTTGCACAATCATTCATGTTGTTGTGTTCCAAGCGAAAAGTACCCAACAGGGTTCAGGAGATTTTGGGGATTTCCGTGTTTTGGATTTGGTATCCACTTCTTGTTTCTTGTTTACCCAATTTGGGAGAAAGACTAATGTTTGTCCTTGCTAGCTTTGCTGTTTCTGGAATTCAACATGTTCAGTTCTGTTTGAACCATTTCTCATCAATTGTCTATGTCGGTCCGCCTAGTGGGAGTGATTGGTGTGGGAAACAAACTCGTGGGACGCTCGATATAACATGTCCGTCTTGGATGGACTGGTTTCATGGTGGATTGCAGTTTCAGATTGAGCACCATTTGTTTCCCCGATTGCCTCGTTCCCAGCTGAGAAAAGTCTCTCCCTTCGTGAGAGAGCTCTGCAAGAAGCACAATTTGCCTTATGATACTGCATCATTCTGGAAGGCCAATGCATTGACAGTTAGGACCCTTAGGAACGCGGCCTTGCAGGCTCGGGATGTTGCTAATCCAGTTCAGAAGAATTTAGTCTGGGAGGCTGTCAATACTCATGGATGATTTGAGGGTCATTGGAAGCTTTTGTTTTTCTTATTTCTTATAATGCACTTGTTTTTCTTTTCTAGCATTTTGAGTATGGTGTCTTATCTCAATTTGTTTTCTGAGGGTTATATCTTGTATATCCTTGGTATTGCAACAAAAGGTAATCATCTTTGTCATTGCTTAGAGTCTTCAGTTATATGTTTTCTTGATGCTTTTTATGTTTGCAGGATCAGCTCAAGTCCTCTTAATAAGATTAGGTGGTGAGCCATTGAGACAGTTGATCTCCAATGTGTTGTAGATCTTTGTAGTTCTGTCATCTTGTTCCAACATTGGCTTTGGGTGGTCCACTCTGGCTTTATGAATAACTGGTCCTCCTAGTCTCTATCTATGGATTTGAGTTGGATTGAATTTTCATGGGTGTCTAGGTGAGAAGTACTGTAAAATTTGATTTTTTTTTTTTGTTTGCATTCAATGCCAATATTGGTTTGAAATTGGATGATCTCTTCTTGTGGCTCGTAGAATTGCATGTCGTAATATGGTATCTCTCTATTCTTGTTCTAATAGGCTATTGGTTTTGGGCACATTATAATTCAGTGGGATATGGGGCAAAATATTGCAAATCACTGAGAAATTTTGTGAAGTTACTATAGGAGTGGGAACTTGAAAAATATTTACAAACTCATGGAAACTCGGAGACAACTTTGCTTCTCTCTCTCTCTCTCATCCCCTTCCTCCTCTCTCTTTTTCTTCAGTCCCTCTACAAATCCAGCAGCGACCCACTTGCTACTGGCCATCCCACACCACCCAACCCCTCTCCCCAGCTGTTGAAGACTCCCATTTATCAGACAGTTTCTGCAGTCTGTCCTAGTCTCTTATGTATTGATTTGAGTTGGGTTGAATTTTCATTGGCGTCTAGGCAAAAAATATTGTACACATTTTCCATTGAATTCCAAGTATGTTTTGAAATTGGATGTTCTCTCTTTGTGGCTCTTAGAATTGCATGTCCTGATATGGTATTCTCTCTTTTTCTGTTCTATTAGGTGATTAGTTTTCAACTCTTTCAACTTTGGATTTCACAAGCACTGTATGTGAAACTAGTTAGTGGAGCCAATAATTAGTGGTTGCACTGGTTTGAAGCCAAGTTGGTCCTTTTTACTATCAAAGTTGTAGTGGATTTGAATTCAACATTGGGGTTTCATTGCTCAACATTAGAGCTGGAATATAGTTTGAATTGGCTTCTTATTTTTACAGATGAAATTGTTTTAAAAATTGCCAAAATATACGACTGAAAAGTTATAAAATTATGGGGATTACAGAACTTATCTTTATGTTCTGGTGCATTTTGTCTTTGCATCTAAAGTCTCATGATGCTCGAGCTCCTCTTGATTGTTGCTTGTTCGATCTTGAACCTAAAATTGAAGTTTGATTAATTGATATTTAATGAGCTGAACTCAAGTTCATTCAATTGTGTATTCGATCTCAAGCTTGTTCAATTGTACTGTTAGTTTCACAATTTTGCAGAGCATGGAAGAGTCTGTTAATTTCTTGATACAGAGATGGCTTCCTCTGCATTACTCTCAAAACCTGAGGGTTATGTAGGATAGAAATTCTAAATCTACTCTTTCTTTGTTTTTTGTTTTTTGTTTCTTGGAAGTTCAAATTTCATGGAACTGGTGAAATATTAATAAAAATGCTTTATTTTAACTCAATTCCATTATCTCTAATTCTGAAAATCTAAAACAAAAATATTAGATCATCTCAAATAAGAAACAAAAAGACTATTTTCTTACATTTTTACTTTATTGAATTAGATTACATAAACATTTTATAACATCATGTTTGGGGATGTGGGTTCGCCGCTAATCTGACTTTTATTTATTTATTTTTATTTTTTTAACTTCGTATTATCATGTGGTATCACTTTTAAATGGATATGAAGAACTAGTTAACTCTAATTTAATAATTTTGTGTTGTTAAAAATTCATAACAAAATGAGTTTTTAGCATTTCAGAGAGGAAGCCTAATGGAGTTGCCTCTTGTTGGGCTTTGTCTCTAATTTTTATTGGGCTTTGCCTCTTCTAGCCTGGGAAAAAGTATTATAGTGATTTTGGGTAAAGTCATATGGTGCTATGACTGGATTTATTATGTATCTGTTCTATTTAATTCTTTAAAAAAAAAAAAAAAAAAAATTAAAATGTAGAAATCTTATTTGCTTACGAGGGTAATTATTTGATAGACATAAGCAACTCTTTGTTAAATTTGCCTGGGAGACGAGTAATTATGTTGGGTACATTACAGTTCATTTACTTATCAGTGGCCTGATCAGAAAATTATTACAAAATCATAAAAAAGTTTTTATATATATATATATTTTGATAATCGGGTGTCTGGGTCAGCTTACGCACACCTTAACTAATCTCGGGACCCTGAAGTTAACGACCAGGCAAACCTTCAGTGATCTTAAGGCGTGACTCGAACGTGAGATTTGTGGATTTTATCCTCCAGGCATAAAAAAGTTTATATTTTTTATTAGGGGAAATTACAAAAAAAAAAAACCCTAGGATTTGGCGTGTTTTTCACATTAAACCCCAACATTTTAATTTTAACAATTTAAATCCTAAATTTTTAACTGTGTCCCAATGTTGACCATCCATCTGTTTCCGTTTGTTTTTGTTAACTTTTCCACTTATTTGATACATGTGTCACTTTTTAACTCTTTCATAATTATTATAATTATTTTATTCTAAAATTATTCCAACACTTTCTCTCTTCTCACCCTCTTTTCTCTTCCCACCCTATCTTCTTTTCCCTCTATCATCAATTAGTTCTATTTTTTTTTCTATCAGCTCTCTCTCTCTCTAGTTGTCATCGCCGCTGTTCATTGATCCCCACTACCGATCGCCACCTCTCACGGCCGCCCGCAACTCCACATAAGTCCCACACACACACACACTCTCTCTCTCTCTCTCTCTCTCTCTCTCTTATCATCATCGTTGTCCTCCTCCACCTGCAAACTATGAAAACATACTTCAGTAGCAGTATAAGAGTAAGGGAGTATGTACAAGCACAGAATAATCTTCTTATATAATCTTGTTGACTAAGTTTGCACTCCTCTAAACGTTGTCGCTTTGCTACCTGAAAACACAAACGTGAGTTAGCTGACGAGTGTACGCCAGAAACCCTCCGATGCCTAAGTCAGCAAGTAGACAATAGACAACAAGCTTTGTGTATTTGAGACTAAGAATTGTAATACCTAGGAATAGGTGAAGTCACGAGTTTTTATAGATTCCGTCTAGTATAATCCTAATAGGACTCTACTCTTTCCAACATAGTCCTCCTAGGAATCCCACCGCTAAAGGATAATGCCTATCCTTGAAACACCCTTCTCACTGCAAGCCAAGTGAGATGGCTAAACCTATATATTCGGCTCCAAGCGTCGAGCTGAGCTTCCGTGTCTCGGTCCCTTACTGTCCAGACCGTGTGATTCAAACGGACTCTGTTGAGCTAATAATAGCTCGATCTCTTTCATTTGGGCGGCCGTTTGTTTGCTAAGCCCAAACCTATTGTTTGGCCTAACATCTACTCGGCTCAGGGCCGAGTTACCCAAGCTCTTCCTTGGACCATAACGCGACCCAATCTCATTAACAATGTGGGCTAGCTCGGCCCAATTTGTACACACAAATTACCCTATCATAGTATATAAATGCGTTTGTGTGTATATGTATTCTATTATATAAAGCACACAACTCAAAACAATTTTGAAGCTTTGCCACGCCTTCTCCCCCTAGGTATGCCTATATTGTTAACTGGTCTAGTAAATACACCAAATAGTTTTCAAATTCAACCCATTTTACTCATTCATCAATTCGCCAAAAAATTTAGATGTAAAATTGTAAATGTTTTAGTCACACTTTTTTTTCTTCTTCAAGAAACCCAAATTGTTAACCGCTCTCATAATAAATGTTTCCAAATTCAACCCATTTTCCTCATTTGTCAAATTGCCAAAAAATTTAGCTGTAAAGTTGCAAAAAATTAATAGGACTTAATTAGACCCACAATCAATCTTGAGAAACTGAACAATTCACATCTATACAAAGTTCTATATATAAAGAACGTGTACATATATACATTGTAGGAGAGAGTTCAAGAAAGGAGTTGGAAAATTCGAAGATCTTCACAGATCCTTGAAGAACAACTTCGAATTCTCTAGAATATGATGAGAGGCTTAGATTCTTCAATGATCTCAACTTAGGAACACAACAACAAAGGAGATGATGGAGATAAGAGATTGGGTGAAGAAGAAGGCAAAATGGCTAGAGAATAGAATAATGGCAAGGCTCTCCCATGGATCTCCCACTTTCACTCTCAAGGTTGATAATGGAGAAGGGAAATTAGTTCTTTCCCAAGAGTTAAAAATCTCCAAAATCCATCCCTTGTAAAGCTATGGGTGGGTGCTATTTATAGGCACCTCATGATGTAGGATGGAGCCCATGTGCAAGGCACATGGGAGATATTCTCTCTAACCACCTTGTCCGAGGAGGTGACCTCTCCGAGGAGGAGACTTCTCCGAGGATGAGAAAAACCCCGAAAGGAGATCAACCCCTCGGCGAACCCTTCTTCTTAGCCACAAAATAGTAATTTTTTTTTTATGTGTGCACGCGCGCTTATTTTGGCCTTTTTCAACCCTGGAGAGTTATTAATTTTTTTTAAAAAAAAAAAACCACTACAAGCAACCAAAAAAAAAAAAAGAAAAAAGATAACTTTTTATTTCTTGTCAAGCAGCCACAAGTTATGTTAACGATTTCTTGAAATGTGTAGCTTATGTTCTCTGGATTATATATCCTATATCTTAAGAAGAGTAATGTTTTATAAATTAATAATTCTTTAATTATTTATTGATGCGATTCCAATTATATCATTATTAATGGGTTCCCCCCAAAATTTAAATTTTCATATGACACCACTTCAGTTGAGAGAGAATAGGGGGGCATGAATGCTTGATTTTTTTTACCAAACACTTTATATTGTTTAAAATCTTATTTGCAAGTCCCTAGTTCAATTTCACTTATTTATCGAAGTCAAAATTTTAAAATAAAATTTTAAATTAAAACCGTATGTTACAACTTTTATCTAAACACTACAATACATAAAAATTTTAGAAATTAATTATTTTTCCTAAAAGTAAAAATTTGGTTGCCAAAAATATTTCTAGACCAATTTCTATCATGGAGGGTCGGCTGACAAGTCATCTCGAAAAGAAAATAAATGCACACTTTTAGGG